TGTGTCTGGCTTTATGATATTGCGAGTGTCAGACGGTGAAAATAACTTATATTATTTCAAAACTTTTCTTCTTTAATTCCCTTTGCCTTATCTTTCCAGCTCCTTAAATGCTCCTCTTTTTCTGCTGCTTCTCATGGCCTCTCTCTCTCTCTCTCTCTCTCTCCACCATTGCCGGACTCAACAGTGATTCAGCCGCTCAGGTGGAGGGGAAATTGGAGCCATGCATCAACCCTCTGTAGATTGACGATAGAAAAATTCCATTACAGTGTGTCGCATGTCTCTGGGGAGATGTCCAAGAGGGAGAGAAGCAAAAGAGGGCCAGCGGGAATATTTTAAGAGAGATGGGGAACAAGGGACTATTTTGATAAAGAATGTCCAACCTAGGGGACGGACGGGATAAAAGGGTAATGACTAGAAAGTCACCATTACAATGTATCACTGTCAAAGCATTGGGACCAGAGACGCAAAGGGACCGTTTGAACCTGTTCAGATCGGCTCCACAAGGAACTGTGATACTGCAACTGTCAGCCACATGTATACCTATTTTTTTTATATATTAATCTTCACAGTCAACAGTGTTGTGTAATTGTGAGTTCAACCTTGGATGATCACCGTTGCTTCTGATGTGTCACGTAAAGGACACACAGTCCTTTAAAGCTCCAGGGATGGTGTTGCGACCCCTGGCCTTTCCTTAGGAGGTGGACAACGAAAAATAGAAAATCGACCTTTGAACATTTATTATTTAGACTCAGTGGTCCCTTTATGAAGTGGACACCTGCTCCTACCAGCCAATCACGAGGCAGCAACTCGGTGCAAAGTATGCAGACATGGTGAAGAAGTCCAGTTGTTGTTCAAAACAAACATCGGAATGGCAAATAATTGTGATGTTAGTGATTTTGTTGTTTGGGGCCAGATTAGGTCTGGGGGATATTTACTTTCACGCCCAGCTTGTTGTGTGCAGTTCAAACAAACACTTGGGTATTAGCTGCTTTAGTTTAATTTGTTTAGCCCGGTGTGAAAACCGTGAACTGAACTTTGCTAGTCAAAGAAAACGGGAAACTACCACAGGATGGTGCAATTGGATTTTGAATACAGAGATAAACTACTACCGTAATTTTCGGACTATAAGGCGCACCTGAATATAATCCGCAGCAGCGGCATACCACTCTCGGTTCCACTTTTACTTTTGCGCACTACCTGTCTCACTCTTTTCCGGCCTCCAGCTTTTCCTGCTGGAACCCGCCGCTTAAAGGTGGGGGTCCGCGGACTGCCAAGGCACACAGGGCCACGTAGAGTTTAAAGGTGTTGGCCGTAGCTGTAAAAATCCATAGATTAGCCGCACCGTTATATAAGCCGCAGCGTCGAAAAATAGGGAAAAAGGCGCGGCTTATAGTCCGAAAATTACGGTAATTGCATCCGCTGATTGTCCATTGACCCTTCACTAGGTCCCTGGGCAATGATAGCGTAGCATCTGCCAGGTCCAGCCAGTGTTCGACTAATACAGGGGTCTGCTCCATAGACTTTTCATGATCGAAATGGACAAGAATCTCCAGCAACTGTTGAATACCACACATAATTCAGGTTTTCCTGTCTATAATAGTTCCCTGTCTCAGACTAGAAAGGTTTACTCAGGTGGCCACTGAATATATACAAATAAACAAGTAAAAGATAATATTAAATCTGTAGTGGATAATAAAACTGAAAACTTTAACCTACACAACATCTAGTAATTGCAGTCTTCAAATGTCCGCTGTTAGTCATCAAAGTGCTATAGATAGTCTTCTCTTTGTCAGACGATGCACATTTCTACACACAGTGGGGATTTACTGTGTGGCATTATTACGGTGAATAAGAGGTGCAATCGACAATTACAAAGTGTGAAACGCTTTAAAAAGCTTGAGACAAATTTACATTTTATAAAACAAATTTACAGAAGCAAAAACGATTGAACATTAAAAAAAACAAATTAACAAGATGCAAAACACTTTTACAAAGCTAGAGACAAATTTATTGAAGCACTTTAACATTTCCCGAAACACTTTGGCATTTCCCGAAACACTTTAACATTTGCCGAAACAATTTAACATGTCCCGAAATACTTTAACATTTGCCGAAACACTTTAACATTTGCCGAAACAAACTTAAGTTTGTTTTGGCGGATAGACCGCCGGTACCTATGGACGGTACGAGTGTGTTTATGGTCGTTAAACATGTTTTGCCGTTCTGTCAAAACCACCTGGGCCAAGTGACATGGTTTTGCTCATCACGATATACTTTCTGCCTGCAGGCTCTCTTTAGCTGTCTGTCTAATGAAGGTAAACACAGCGAAGGCTGTGTGTAAAGGCACGGACACACCAGGCTGATTATCGGCGTCGGTGGGCGTCAGGACGACGATGAGATGAGACCTACGATGAGACCTACACGCCCTACTCAGATTGGTGTGTCCCGCACCGTCGGGTCTTTTCAGCCGGGCCGACGCCTTTTCGGCCGAAAACCCGCCGATTCAACAGTCGACCAAAGGCAGTCGGCAAAAGAAATCACTCTGATTGGCTGTTCAGCTAGCGAATGAAGCGAAACGGAAGTGAAGGACCCAAACAAACTATTAAGAAGGCAAATCTGAGATTTCATTGAGCTCTAGCTCTCGACACAGGTTCGGGAAAGCCCCATGAGCTTCTCGCTGTAGAGTGAAAATGGAACGCACACGCTGTTTGTTGTTTGTTTATATCACGCTGTCTGTTCTTCTTCTCTCAGTTATCAAGCAGTCTGTCTTCCGGTTGTTGCCTCTTTTGAATGACGAATACACACTACCGCCGCCTGCTGGTAAGGAGAGTTATTGCCACTCACGCATGCGCAGTTCCCACGTGCGTCTTGGCCGTCAGCTGAAGTCTTTGCAGTGTGTTCCAGTGCGACACATGGCCAAAACGCAGAGACGCGAGGCGACGCAACTGTCGGGGTCTGTCTGTGTCAGTTATTTGTTGTCAGATTGGTGTGTCCGGCCCTTAAAAGGCACAGNGCTATGGTGTGCTTTGGTGAAGAAATCCTGGGTGTTTCTCAATGTCGAGTACGCTTGCTTGGTAGCACATATCTTCCGAGCGTCTTGCTTCAGAAGCAAGAATACTTCCTGGCATTCGGAAAACAAAGAGTGAAACAGGCTAGCAAGTGTGCAGGTGTGCTTCATACTGTATGAGAGGCCCCGCCTTACATTTTCCGCCACAGATTTGAGGAAATTGGTCCGTGCGCAAAGCATTGTGGGGATTTTAAGACCGCGGAGTCTACACATGTGCAGCCTCTAAATGTCTCCAAACAAAGTACGCTGGGCTCGGTAGAATTCCAAGTATGCTGGACATTGGAACATTCCTTCGGCGGCACTCGATGACGTAGTATGCTTGAAATAGTGGCTCTGGAGCAGCTTTACTCGAGATTGAGAAACACCCCCTGGATAGCTACAGAGTTGTGAGCTTGGATAAGGACCATTTCTTCTAAAATAGTGACACAATATAGTAATGTGATTAAAGACACATCATTTATCAGACTCTTGGGTCTTACGGGTGATGAAATGAAAGTAAAGAATTCATGATTACATTACATTTCATTTGGCTCACGCTTTTATCCAAAGGGACTTAAGTGCAAGATTCAGACTCCGAACAACATGGTCTCTTGAACTTATAATACATAAGAGTGTTGGGCGTCTTGAGGAAAAAACAAATATAAGTGGCATATTAAGGTCTGCATCAAAGAATTGCTTTATAATAAACTGTGACTAGAAAAAAGACAGTGAAGGCGATGGAGCAGCCATGGATAAGACCTTCTCTTTGTTTGTTTTCTATACCTTTTGGTGAGTTCATCTGTCAATGTCTGTCAATGTCAGTCCTCCAGTCAGTCATTCAGTCAGTGTACAGTTTTAAATGAATAAAAGATGCTTTGAGTTTCTAACTGGTGAAAGTAGAGATGTGTCACTCGAGGCTCAGACTCTGTGTATCCTTGTTATCATCTGTTCACCCACCACCGCCGTAAGGCAACAGCTCATCCAAGCTTCATTGCCTTTGTTTTCACTACTTTGATATTGTTTGTGTTGCAAACATGAGAAAAGGTGCCATTATTGAAATGTGGGCGGCTTATTCATCAAAAAGAGCTTCAAGAAGACCAGATTCAGAAATGACAGAAAAAGTGGTTTGATATTGTTGTCACAAGAAACATTACATTATCAATGGATGCCATATTTTTGAAAATGTGACATGCTTTTTTTTTCTACATCACCTCTTATCTCACCATTAGTGTTTCTAGAGGAAGAGCCCTTTTCTTTCTTGATAAAGCTATATTGAGAATGACAAATATGTGTTGAAATTAGTTTAGCTAGTCTTTGTTATCTGTTAGTTGTTCTGGTATTGTGACATCCCTGTTTCATAATCTCCAAAGCATCCATTTAAATAACCTGAATCTCCTTGACTTGATGTTAGAAAACATGAATTGAAGTGCTTTTCTCAAAATCATAATGTTCACTGATGGCTGTTTTTATCAACACTTATCTCTTGTATTTAAAAGTGTATTCATATGTACTCCTCCCCGACACAAAGTAAAATAATCTAAATGCCATTGTTTAAAAATGACTCTGCATTTAACAATAATAAAACAAGTTTTTGAATGTTAGACTCAGACAGAGTGGAGCTCCTACAGTACCACTGTTTGTTGAGGTGCAGAAAGGTGGCTGCAGGGCCAAGTGTTCAAATGGAGAAAATACTTCTATAATTGGAACAGTTTCCCTGTCCAGAGTGTCCTGCAAAGACACTGACTCAGTGCTTCAGTGAGCGTTTCAACATTCAGACTCTGCCAGCAGGATCCTAAGCCGTGCTCTCTCTCTCATCCTCATCCGTGAGCTGTCTGGATATTACCTTCTGATGTTTAATTAACAATATGCTGTAAGAGATGAAATATATATATAAACATTCATTCTAACCTCTGTCACCCTGGTGCTGTATCCTACACTTTTCCTTCTTAACCTTTCCTCTTTGCTGTAGACAACCGTCAGTCATTATCTGTTAATCGTTCCTCCTCAGCTCCCAGTCTTTTTATCTCTCTATTCCCTTGCCACAGATCTTTTTCTTCCCAGCAGCGGGGGTTTGTGAGGGAATTTAAAAGCATCAGAAATCATTTACAGATTGCTGAGTGTACAGTTCACACTGGCCCAGTTCACTGTGCAGAACTCAGAAAGGTGCAGGCAGCATATTCACACAGTCCATCTAATTTATTGCTCTATTCAGTATTACAAGTGTGTGTGTGTGTGTGTGTGTGTGTGTGTGTGTGTGTGTGTGTGTGTGTGTGTGTGTGTGTGTGTGTGTGTGTGTGTGTGCAAATAGGTCACACATAGTAAGGGCTTCAAATTCAATTTCCAGATTCAAGAGCTTACAGTAACATGCTGACCTGCAACTTTGGTGGATAAACCTCCCAACAGCAGAGCGAAGTTATCTGACATTTTGTATCTCTTTGTGCTGTACAGTTATCTAAAAAGCTTCCTAGGTTGTAATTTACTAAACTGGGGCAGACCTGCCTTTCCTGCTGTTTCCCTAGCAATTGAATATGTGTCGGTGTACAGCACATCCATCTGTTTTTCATTACCTTATATATTATTTAGTTCTCTCATTGTCCTAAACACTAAGATGCTTCAAGTTGTACGTTTGCCATATAGGCGTTTATGGAATGCTGCAACTTTCGCCGCTGCAGCATTCCTCTTTTTAATATGCAAAAGTAATTTTGTGTTAATGTCTAACTGACAGTTACAATGGATGTGCCAGGCCTCGGTTACAAATCAGTAGATTGGAGGTGGCAGCAGAGTGGACGCGACTAAAATACAGCTGCTGCACCCTTATTCTGTCACTGGGTTTATGTTCCTGCTCGCCAGGCGCCAACAGCTGAGAGATAAGTGCAGAGATTATTGGAAGGCAGTAGCTCAGTTCATTTGTCCATATTTACAGGTCCTGTTTGTGCATGTGTGTGTGTGTGTGTGCATGCGTGTGTGCGTGTGTGTGTGTGTGTGTGTGTGTGTGTGTGTGTGTGTGTGTGTGTGTGTGTGTGTGTGTGTGTGTGTGTGTGTGTGTGTGTGTGTGTGTGTGTGTGTGTGTGTGTGTGTGTTGCTATAACGAAGCAGCCTGCAGTCACTCTTTAGCTGTTCTAATGAAGGTAAACACAGCAAACAGCTGTGTGTAAAAGGCACAGCTCCACTTCCTACTTGGTGAACCTGTAACTTTCTCGTGTGCAAGAGTACGTATCTCTTGCGCAAGAGAAAGTATATTGTGATGAGCAAAACCATGTCAATTGGCCTAGGTGGTTTTGACAGAACGGCAAAACATGTTTAACGACCATAAACACACTCGTACCATCCATAGGTACCGGCGGTCTATCCGCCAAAACAAACTTAAGTTTGTGTCGGCAAATGTTAAAGTGTTTCGGCAAATGTT